CGGGACAAAATGATAATATCGGTCCCCTTTTTTTAAAAAAAAAAAAAAAAAAAAAAAAAAAAAGTCAGTGGTCTAGCTAAGCCTGCACTCCTTTCCAAAGGTTATTACTTAACCACTGACCTAATGGGGTCCTAGGGAGCTACACTTCACTGCAAAGTAAAACCAAGATCCTTACTGCCTGAAGTCATCAAAAGATTCCTATTAAGGAAATTACCTGCGTACATGGCTCCTCCAGACTTTTCACTGAAACTCCACTTTTAAGACTAAGCTCAAATCTCTTTTCTTAAGAACTGTATATTTTTAAGGGCGGCCAGCTTTTATATAAAGGTTACCTGCATTTCACCAAAAGACACTGTCCTTACAGATACAGCTAGAAACCTGCTTTTCAAACCCATTGTAATACTTGGATGAAACACACTATAAACCAGTTAAGAATACTACTGCTTTACAGGCTTCTTGCAGTCTGCACACAAAGACAGGCCAACAATATAAAAGCACAACAGCAATGTAGTGCCCATTTATTTCCACATCCAGAAAAAGAAGGGGAAGCTTGTTTCAGTCACAAGTTTGTTCATGAGGATATGCATTAATATTCAATTTGAAAAAGCACCCAGCCTCTTTGGGGAACAATCTCTAGAAATAAATTAAGTGAAGAAGAAAACGGGTGAGACCATTTGTGTCTGTCTATATTTAGGTGCACACAACTAGGGTATCTGTATATTTCTTTCAAATCAACCTGTTCAAAAAAACCTTTGTCAAAGAAGGATTTGGCGCTTTCATCTGACGGTGGTGAAACAAGTATTAGTTTAGGCTCTCTGCACACAAGTTTCACAACTGCGGACAAATTATCAAGACAGTCACATGCACATACCATTGCACACTGCTAGGTCACCGTTGCATCGTTAACCACTTCCATTTTCCAGTGAAGCACTGCTGTAGCAAGAGGTTACAGTTTATGAGAAGGTGGTGTTCCCGGAGAACGACGTATGCTGGGTCAGTCCCACAGAGACTGGGACTCAGAGCTAGCCTGAAATTCCCAGGCTGAGTTCAATTATAAACCAAGCCCTTCATCAGCAGACTAACTTAAAAATGCAAGTTTTGGCCCTGCTAAAAGCACTCTGGGTCATAGTCATGGCAGTATTTATGGACACAAACCTGCGCTGGATGAAGCATTACCAAAACAGCACCTGTACTAGACATCTCCACAGTATAAAACAGAAGCAGCGACCAAAGAAACGAGACACCAAGGAGGCTAGCAAACAACAGAGAGAGATGTGGTGGATTGAAGGAAATCTGGTCAAAACCCTACTGTGCCAGCCACGCTCAGCCCGGCAGCCACAGCCCGGGGGGCAGCTTGAGATCCTTGCAAGAGCACCAAAACTGCTGGGGGAATAGGTCGTAGCCTGCTGGTCTAAGGCAAGTGCTGCTAGGGACTTGCATGAGAAACCCCCAGATCTTGGCAACAGAAAAAAAAAAAAGAAAAACAAATATCAAAGAAGGGGTGAAACCCAAGAGCTGGCCATGCCCTGGGGCCCGAGCCGGCAGGCTGAGGAGCAGGGGAGCAGCCAGGGCAGCCGCTGGGGACCCAGCGCTGGAGCCGCCCGCTCCTCCCAATCCTGCCCGGGCTCGTACCTGGGGCGGGCCGGGTCCGCGCCGCTGAAGAAGGGGCGAAGCCGCTGACCCCTGCCCTGCCCCAACCCGGCCGGCCGAGCCCCGCGGTTCCTACTTCCCGGGGCAGACGTGAGTCACCGGCCCGCTCCCTCTCCCCCGGGCCCGCGGCCCCGACTCACCCGCCGCGTCTGCTCGCCGCCACCCCGGAAGCGGCGCCGCAGGCCCCCCCCCCCCTTCGCCGCCATTGGCCGAGGGAGGGGGGAGTCGCGCAAACCTCGCCCCCACCCCTCCGCCGGGGCCGGAAGAGGCGGAGCTAAGATCAGGCAGTGACTCCCCCAGCCCTCCTGGGCAGATCCGGGGGGGCGGGGCCTGCTCTGGGCTGTGTCAAAGGGGCGGGAAGGCGAGACCCTTTCCCACGCCGACGCCCACACCTGCTCTCTCTAGTGCGGGGCGGGTAATTATTTTGGGCGGAGGGCCGCTTACTGAGTTTTGGCAAGCCATTGAGGGCTGCATGACAGGTAGCCCAGGGCAGATAAATATTAGTTTTCTAAAAGTTTTAGGGGCCCCGTGGGTCAGATAGAATGGCCTGGCAGGCCGCATCTGGCCCCTGGGCCACAGTTTGCCCACCCGTGCCCTAGCGGCACAGATTCCTGTCAGCCTTCCCATCTCCTCACCTAGGGAAGCCTGGGGGCATCACTGTAGCAGTGTGCCCATGCAGCACAGCCTGTCTCCCCAGACATCAATCGACAAAGCATCCCCCTTTTCTAAGCTGCAGCCAGGGGTAGATCAAGCACAGCCTTCCCAGTGTGGCAGGTGTGCAGTGGGCCCTGCCTGGGATGCAGGGAAGGGAGCCACTGCCCTCACAGGGAAAGAGGGGAGATCTGTGTCCAAAAGACGCTGCCTCGTGCCAGCCTGTCACAGGAAATGCTCTCCTCACAGTGCTGTAAGCGCCTCAGGGCTGGGCCTGTCATTTTACTGTGTTGTAACTGCCTGGTGTACCGTGTGAATCGGGGCACAGACATCAGTCACGAATGCAGCTTTCTGAAAATCCCAACCACTCATAGTGCTTCTTTTTCACTACGGCACTTCCCCTCCCGGCTTCTTGTCAAGGCAGAATCAGAAATTCCGCTCCCCGCGTTTACAGTAATCCATCGGCTTATGCAAAATGCTGAGGAGAACACTACGTTCATGCCACAGCTGTAGCTCTTACCAGCAGTATTCAAGAGAGAAATGCTTGCTAGGCAGACTGAAAGTGAATGCTGAGGTCTCTGTTTCATTTCTCAATTCCCTTGTGGATGCTGCAGGGGGGGAATGAGATGGACATGGTCTGTTAGTGTCAATTGGGATGGCTGGTCTGAAAATAGCAACTAGTGCTTGCTTTCATCCAAGATCACAACTGTGAGATCTCAACCCCTTACAAGCAAAATCCAAGTGATTTAAGATTCTTATTTATTCCTCATTTTACTGAAACTGAGGCAGAAAACTGAAGTGATTTGCCCTTGAGCTCAGTCATGCACTATAACCACTAAACACGATACTGCCTTTCCCCTGCACAATTTCTGAGCATTTACTTTGCACTTGAGAAGTCTGGACCCGTTCCAAAGAGCAGTGATGTCAACAGAAAGCCTCACAATGACTTGATCAAGCTCCCTACATTCACTTAAAGTGAAACTCTACATTCAACTCAATGGCCTTTCATCCTGATATAAGAAGTTCAAATCCAGCTCAGATCCACAGTGCCTATAAGTCAATGACCTCTGTGAAATGAGTTGTTGGTCTCAGTCCCGGTGTTAATGAACATGTATCTAAATTACACAGCTCCCTACCACTAACTGCAGGACCAAGGACTTGAAACAAGGTCAGGTTTACTAGGTAGGGTAGTTGTGGGAATCTTCTATTTAATCTACCTTTGGAGTGCATCAGTCATGGCTGTGACTGATATTACCGCCTATTGCATAGGTACATGGTGAATTTTGCTTATAGGCTGACAATACACCATCTTTCACCAGCTTAAGATAATCTATCCATCACTTAAATCCCGCATTAAGAACAACAGGCAACTTGACCCTCCTTCCATGACTTACAAACATTTTATAGCCAACTCCAAAGCATGTCTGTTAAAGCCTAAGGAGAACAGAGAGTCTGAGGCTCTTTAACCAAAATCAGTTTGGCTGCCCTAAACAAATCAAGACCTCACATACCTTTGAGGAAAGTGACATAGCTCATTCCAGCTCAGAAAATCAGCTCCTTGTTCAGAGGCCTTTGCTTAGAACAGAAAGTGGAAGGAGACGCAGCAGTGAAGGACAGTCAGCAGTGGGTTTCATTTAAAAATGAACAGAGAAAGGAAATGAAAATGATTGCCACGCGGCGGTTCCAGCTCAGGAAGGTCAGTGCCAGGGTGCTTTTCACAGGGGAACTTGGCTTTGTTGGGAAGACTTTCCCTCTTTGTGTACAATGCACTCTCTTTTTGCATGATGCAGCTCTTTTCATCCATCTCCCTAACTCCCTTTGGAGAGTCGCTGGGAACAGCCCAGCAAATCAAAAGCCTTTCTGAGTAGTGGAAAGGACCTTCAGGCTTTATTGAGCCTTTCTTGTGCCAAATATGCCAAGTCCCAACGCCACTAGACCAAGTTCTCCAGTGCCCTACAACCCTTAGATATTAGCTGGGATGGCAGTAATAAATAACATCAAAGGGCAAACCTGACAACAAGCACAGAAAACTGGCTCCAAAGGGTGACATTTTCTGCCAATATATTCATGCCTGAAAACAGATGCTCAAAATACAAGTGTCTCTTTGATTCTAACTATTTGACTCTACCTTTAGGGATGTTCTCACAGAGCTACACTATATTTGTAAGGTGATTCTCAGCTAATATACACTGAAGTTGGAGTTAAGGATCTACCCCTTTGGGTCTATCTACGTGGGAATGCTGTACCATTTTAATTATGCCAACTAATGTGGCCTCCATTATACCATTATAAGGTTGCTTCATCCTGTATCTGCTTGAAAAGAGTAATACTGTAACTATGCAATAGGCCACCATTAGTGGAACAACTGCTTGCAGGCTAGGGATTTTCCTAGTATAAGAGTTTCAGTAAATAATTGCAAGCACTTCCCTACCACCCTAACAGGAACAGACATCACAGCCACCTTTTCAATACAGACCAGGACTTAGTCATGCTGACAGCCAGGAAAGCTCAAGTGATCACTTATCCAAGTCACTGACCCATGAATAGCCTTTAGGACAGCTGATAATACTGTAACTTTGTTGTTGTGATACTGCATCTGCCATCTGCTGGCCACAAGACAGAACTGTTGCAGGACAGAATAGGAAAGAAACTTCACCAAAGCGGCTGGATTTACATTCCCTTCCCCCACTTCTCCCCTCGAAGTGTTCTTTCCTAAATCTCTTAAGCTACCAAAAGGCAGGTGCCACTACAGAGACAGATGACTTGGCCCTCGAGAGAGGGCACAGTGATCAAAGAAGGGATGTTCCATTGCTGCACTGGAAGTCAGCCAGTCTTAAAATATATAGACATTTTTAAAATGGGTATAGAGAAGGATTTTAAGGGAGTTGTTTCAGCTTGATTGTTTACCTTAGAAATGTCAAATATGGTTTTCTGTTTTTTTCTGAAGAGTTCCTTGGAAAACTCAGAGCTGTGGCCTGGGAATTCTGTCCCTCCTTTAGTTGGAAGAGCCAGGATGGAGCATCTGAAGTGCTGAGAGCTTTTCTCCAGACTATTAGGGCTATGTGGGTTTTAAGAAAAAAACAAACCAAAAAAATGAAGGCTTTCTAAGCAGCCAAAAATCACTGTCCATTTCAATCAGACTTCATGTATTATCAGTAGCAGTGGTAAGATTTATTTGCAGCATTGCAGCAGTGCTGAAGAGGTCCTATCATGGATCAGAGCCCTATGGTTCGAGTTACAATGCAAACACCAAATGAAAAGATGGTCTCTCTTCCACAGTGCTTTTCTGGTTCCCTTGGTGTCCTAAAAGACCCCTTCTCTAGTTCCAAGGTAGATGTGCCCCAAGTTACAATTATATAAACACAAACAGAAAAAAGAAATTATGGAAGCTTTTCCAGCTCTTCTCTCTGTGCATCGTGAAGCAAGAATTAAACAAAAAGCCTTAATTCCAATGTTTCCCTTTGCCAGTTGACTTCTAGGGGCATTGAACATCAGCCTAGGTGTAGTCACTAGTTTGCCTTCTGCCACTACTTTCACAATTTTTGTAGCATCCTGCTAGGGGTATGGGAGCAGAGCTTGAAAGGCATCTGAACCCCCTTCTTCAGACTCATGCCAGGGCTACCCTCAACCTACTCAACAACAAATGGGTACCAGCCCTTCAGGCTGGAGCAACTACATAAAATCAACACATGGGAAGATGAAAATATTCTCCTTTACAGGCACGATCTCAAATAACAAATGGCATTATTTCATCTGTTAGTGTAAGCATGTATGAATCCAATATATTTCAAATGGGCAACTTCAGAAACTACTTAACAAGGTCAATAAGACCAGAAGCAACACTAAACAGTATTCATAACTACTATATTGTCTTGCATAAAATCAGAACCTTTTGCTTCTGAAAATTAAATTACGCAATGTGTACAACGAGTCCACTTCCATCGCTGTCCTGCCACACACTATGGAGATCTTGTCATTTTATCAGATCTGGCAAATGCACCTTTCACTTTGTTCTGGAGGGGCATTCATGTGCGAAGACATTAGCTCCATCCTTTCCTCTGGAAACACTTGCACCCCTGCTGACTTAACCATTTTGCTAAAGAATTCTCCAAGGTTCACTCTTTACTTTTTCCACAAACACTCAAATCCAACTATCTTCTGAGAAGACAACAGAACAACCTCCACCCCTCAGAACATAACTTTGTTTGTTCGTAACAGGGTGCGTTGCCCCACGAGAACACCGCATGCACTGTAACCATCTTGTTGGATGTTGCCCAATACACAATGCCAGTTCCTGCTTCACGTCAGTGAACTCTTTAGTTGCCATCTCTTCTTTTTCTCCGTTACTCTTGTTTTTCCTTCAAGAAATCAAAATCAAGCCTGTGTGGTGCTGGTGGGACAACGCAGCTTGCAACACTTCCATCTGCAGCAAAGCCACGTAAAGCCCTTGCATGGCTGAACAGGACATGTATTTTGTTTAGCATTCAGTCAGAGCTGGACACAGACATGGGTGAACAGGGCAGCTACCGAGGGCCAGGACAGAAAGCGGGCCCCAAAATGGTAATTTTTGTTATTGTCATCATTATCTCTGGCAAACGGTGGGGGGAGGAATACTAAAAGTTTGCCTGGGGCTGCCAGGACTCGAAGTACAGTGATGTACTCAGTAAATTTCACAATGTCCTTCCAAGGGCATCTGAAACATCTACCTGTACAGCAGTACCAATACGGAAAGCCAAATTTATCGCGTCTTCTGTTCTCCTGGAAGAGGACATCTGGGCCGCTGTCCAAGCCTTTCTTTTATCATGACTGACCCAGTTCTCACTCCCGGCACACGTAGGCCACAGCCTGCCAGGGAGATTGAACAAGGAAGAGGGGACTCTGCGGGGCTAAAGCTGGAGCTGCAGCCACAACTGGGCTAGAGATTCCCAAGCCCGCGCACGGGGGCTGGCCCTGCCATTGCCCAGGTATAGCACGCAGCATCCTGGGCTGGGGACATCCCACACAAGACATGCTGCAGCCTCAGCCTTGCAAGCTGCTCCAGGACCCTCCCCCTGTGCGTGTGTGGGGTCCCCGTAGGGTGCCAGACCTAGCGCCAAGACCCATCTGCCCCCAGCTGAGCAGCTGCAGGACAGGGACCCGCACCTAGGGACCCGCACCCAGCCACTGCAAAGGCAATGGAGACCAGACCCGCACAGCCGCAAGCTCCGCGGGAAACCATGCGGCAGCAGCAACGTGCGAATGAGGCGGAGTATGCCCCACGTGGCCCGCTCGCCAGGGACTGAGCATGCGCAGCAGCAGCTAACCCCGCCCCTACCACCATCACCAGGGTCATGCAGCCTTGTGCTCCCTGGCCGCTGATTGGCCAAGGTTGATCACTGGCCCTTACTTGGGGTAATCATTGGATGCCATTGAATTAGTGACGTGCAAAACATCAGTATGGCAAAAAAAAAAAAAAAAATCTCCATGAGGTTCACACGAGCCAATCAGATAAACGACAGCTTTGATGGACGGTTCGTTCTACCCTACGGGAAATCAAAACGTCAACAATAAGTGACCGGGATGGTCTGCAAGCTCAACTCCATTGAGGCCAAAGCTCCCAAAGTCCCACCCCCCTTGCACGGGTGTCTCTCCGCCACTAAGAGCGCGCGTTCCACGACAGGCGTGGGCAGCGTCCAATCAAGCTCTCCAAGCGGTCCCAGGCGCCTCTCTCAACCAATCGCTAGGCCTGGAGGGGATGAGTGGCAGGCGGGGCGCCGAATGAGCCGCGGGGCGGCCGCGACAGCTGGGGCCGTGGCGCAGGAGGACGCAGGCGGAGTCGGGGCCATGGCGGAGAGCGACTGGGACACGGTCACGGTGCTGCGCAAGAAGGGCCCGAGCGCGGCTCAGGCCAAGTCCAAGCAGGTGAGGGGGCTTCGGCCGGGTCCTCCGCGGTCCCTCAGGCGTCCTCCCTCTCCCAACGGGTGCTCCCCCCCTCCCCTCCAAA